AAGTGTCAACATTTGAACATCGAAGTTCTAACATCATGGCTTGGCCAATCTTACCGATGTCATTGTCATTTTTCACGTCATTAATATAAATCTGGAAGCAACGTAAGTAAGTAAGGAATTTCCCAGTTCAAATATTTATTTATTTACTTATATCAACTTCGAAACTGTACATATTTTAAAATTGAGTTGTTATGAGACCATAACTGAGAAAATGTTGCTCAATGGGTTAGTCCAGTCGTAAATGAGACTTTCGTTATTCCCTTCCTAACCCCCCCCGCTGAGCCGGACCGGGCGATGCTCTTGCAAACGCATAAGTACTCACAATAATTCCCTGCCACCATGGTAGAAAGTATTACCCTCTCAACCAATCACAGATGGGAGATGACATGACTCTGCCCACTCACAGATGAGAGATGACATGACTCCGCTCACAAGTACCTTTGAGCACTATATGTTAGAATTCCACCATGCTAACGCGTCAACTCAGGACTCAGGTTCTAAGAGTCAGCACAGTAATGAATATTCATTCATAGATCACAATTCAATTGGACATGAATTACAGAACTAAAGAAGGCAACATGGCTTTAGATGTGCCATCGGTGCCTTCTAATGAATGACTGGACTGGTTGTGGCAAGTAGGGTATGAACCTGTATGTCAACAGTACGATCCTGCATGCCAATGTTGTGACTACATTTACATTACCGACATCCTCCCGGCCGGCAAAATCAACACGATCAATACCTAATAACAATGCGCGTAAATGGACTATACAAATTAGGTCAATATGGCATAATTACAGAGCGTAATTATGCTATGTGATACATAATATGAATATATATATATTTGCAAGATAAGTCAATGGTCTGTCGTTTATTTTTGCTTCATTTGAGCAATAATGGTTTCCAAATCTGGGTGCGTTATGTTATGTCATGTGTACTTTGAATGTGCAAAAATTATAACTATCATATGAAAATTGTTATGTAGGTTATCATAGCATGAATCACAATAGAGTATCAAGATTGCAGCTCTGCCACCAGCCTTCATTGAATTATCCCGCCTTTTTTCTAAAATTCAATAATCTCTCTTCCAGCAAAGTTTGCGAAATTCGTTAGCTGCATAAAATACTCTCTGCTGTGGTGTTCGAGTTCCGGTTGACATGAAAACTTGCGGTTCCATAAATGGCGGGAAAGCTCTAATTGCGCCGCTCTGAAGGCAATTCATATAAATAATAATATAATCCACGCCTACGCTGGAGGAAGTTCAAACTTCAGAGGTGGAACTAAATGCAGTAAATTTGCAGTAAGTCAGAAAATACCAGAAAAATACCAGATTTAGGCATATATACCAGATCTATCTATACTGAATATTCATACCAGACACCTTTTGAAAATACCAGATTTGTGAAATCTGGTATAGAAATATACCATCTGGCAATGCTGGTTCAGCGTTACTTGAAATCATCTACAGACGATGTTGCCATTCCATTCAGATGAAAACTGCGTCTAAATCAGAACTGTGTCGGACGGCTCCGTGGCCCGCGCCGAGTGCTGCGCGGCGCGGAATCGATGACCGTGATTTGCACGAACGTCTGCGCGAAAAAAATATAATTAGATTGATTTACGCGAGAAATTTTCCCGTTTATATACATCTTCCTGAGTGTGGTGGCAATAGCAGGTAGAAAAAAAAAAAACACCCTTTAAAAATTTATTTATCATTCGCTAGGCCCTTCTAAGTTTCTAACTTGTTCTATAGTAATTCCAGACCTATTATAAAGCAATGAAATAAATGAAGTGATCACTAGTCTCTAGAATCTAGATATGTCCTTGACATCAAAATACATTTTGGTTTTTTTGCACTTTTGCATAAATTCTTGGATGCTACTGTAGTAATTTTGGTCACATCATTGCTAGAGAAATGAACTTCACACAGATTTTTGTAACTTATTTTATGTTAGCCCAACCTAAATTGTAACTTTAACATCAATTCCTACTTTGCCTTTGGTGTTAAATTAATTTGCACACTGCTCAAAGTGAAATATAAAAAGAACCCACATTTTTCTTGAAAAAATTTTTTTTTTTGCATTAGAGTTATATATTGACATAGCATATTTTGAGACTTTAACTGCAAATGCTCTCAAAAAATGTTTATATATGAATTTTTTCTAACACACTGGGCTTTTTAAAACATATTTGTCATTTTATTTTTTAAAATAATTTAGCTTCTTAACTAAAAACTAGTAGCAGTGCAACTTGCAAGCCTGACAATTTTTGGGTATATGCACTAATAGTATTCATGAAGTTTGGTACAATTTTCACAATACTGTAAAATGGGGTAACTTGGACCACTTTTTTTATAAATGATGCAATTTTTTTACTAGCTGAATTAAACTTGAATTGAAACATGCAAAATACAGGTCTATACTCTAGCTTCACTCACCATAAATTGCTGGCTCCTGCCTCTCATAGTCTTTATGTAATTAAAAAAAAAGTGATGGTCTTTGTTACCCCAGCTCTTGGGGTATCTTAGACCGGGTGGTAAAATCAATTATATTTTTTGGTAAAATAACTCCAAATAACTCCAGGTTTTGGTGCATTGTAGTAGAACTCTTCTTGTTACATATGAAAATGACAAACTTGAAAAAAAAGAGGGGCGCCGCCCCATAATGGGGGAAATGTGACTACCTAATGGCAGCCCTGATGGGGTAAATATTGACTGGCTTGGAAATTAAGTTAAAATTACCATATATAAGACTCTGTAGAGTCTGAAACATAAAGAAAAAACATAAATAGGCTGTCAAACATAAAATATGTTATATATAGTAGGTAATTTTATATTAACTTCCAAGCTGGTCTATGTTACCCCGTCAGGGCTGACATTAGGTGGTCTAAGTTCCCCCATTTGGGGGCAGCACCCCCTATTTGCAAACTAAGACACTTTCCTAAAATTTGTCATTTGCATATGTAACTAGAAGAGTTCTACAATGCATCAAAACCTGGAGTTATTTAACTAAAAAATGAAAAAATTGGAGGGGGTACTCTGACAGGCTTCAAATAATAGCTTTTTTCGTGGGTCACATTTTTAATTTTTTAACCTATTAGATATGCAAACTTTTAAACTTTCTATTGTGTTATGTAGCCTCAGTATTAGGCCTTTAATGCCCATGGACAAAATTTTTCTATGTCAAATAATTTTTGAGTTTTGGGGGTTTATGTTTAAAAACCGAAAAGTGGTCTAAGTTACCCCGCCGGTCTAAGTTACCCCATTTTACGGTACTGAGAAAAATTCTTCAAAAGATAAGGCAGAAAACTGGAAAATGTTTTTTTAGTCTGACACTATATTTAGTTCATATTTTGCTCTGGTTTCTGGCCTGTAGTATGATTCAAAACCATGTTTCCTTATTGTCAAACTGCATGAATTTTATTGTGATTGAAAGAGGATTGGTTATTGCTTGTTTCTGCTTCATTCAGTGATTTTTGTTCATCTTAACTCTACTTGAATCATTCTAAATTCTGCGGCTTTACAGTAAATGCACAATATGTCATAATGTTTTGATATATCATTTGTGATATGTTAAATATAATATAGTCATATGGGGTAAGATGGGATCACAGCCTTCATGGGGTAAGATGGGGTAAGAAAGGACCAGGTCATGGCGTGCATTCTAATTGCACTGAATTTAATTTGATGGATGAATATGATAGAGCAATCATTGCATGTCATTTCAGTGTTTGTTTCAACCCTTATCTGCAAATATTGAATTTTTGTTTAATTTTTAAAGAAAACCTGTGTAAAGAAGGGTCGCAAAATAGTTAACCCTATTTGGGAAATGAGCTCTGTTTAATGATGAAAAATTCTTTGGCCAGGTTTGTGGATGTAGGCAGGTAACCTCAAGTAATAAGCAATATTTGAGACATACTAGGCATTCCTACCTACTATCATCACTGCCTGACATGTATTCTAAAATGGGGTAAAAAAGGACTGGACATGGGGTAAGACGGGATCACTAAATGATCCTGTTTTACCCCACAACGCCACAAGTGTTCCTATCTTTCCCCACAAATGGTCCTGTCTTACCCTACAAATGGTCCCCTGAGAGTTTATCAAAAATAGTTTTTAAATGAATATATTATTGTGCAGTACATGGAGTATTTTGGCCAAAATTTTTATCTTTTGCTCAAACTTCATTCTAACTTGTAAACTTTTTAATTAGAGAAATTTAGTTTACTATTGGAAATTGCGTCAAAGGGATGGAGAAAATAGGGAAGTCTTCCCATTAGTGAGCTGCAGAAGCAGAACTATGTGCAAGATTAGCTGGGGGAAAAATCATTGTGTGAGGCATGAAAAATAATTATTATCACAACTCTGTGAGAGGGCATGGGCTACCTTTGAAGAAGTGCACCATTAATGCAGTTAGCAAGAAAACAAATGATGTCTGACACTTGAGCTATTATCCAATTGGTTTTAGTACCAATTTGATAAATTTTTTAGACAATGATACTAATGGAATATACATGCAGCATTTAGCAGTGCTCTACAATGAACCAAAGCCAACCTAATATTACTATGCTTAACAAAGTTTTCTCGCGACAAAAATGCCAATCTAACTGATATTAGGGTTGACTTCCTACAATACAAAACAGGAACAAGTGGTTGTTTAATCAAATAATGTGTTTTAGATGGATAATATTGAATATCAGGTTCGTTCTTTTATTAAAAACCTTGTAACATAAGAATACCAGATGGTCCTGTCTAACCCCAGCCTGGTCAAAAGCCAATATATATGCAAAATGTCTGAGTTGTAGCTTAGAAGCCCATTGCATAAATAAAACTTGTGATAGGTTCATGTTTTTTTAGTTATTCATGAAATAGTTGCTACAGGCTTGTTAGTGATTTTGGTCCTGTCTCCCCCATCTGACTATATACCAATCTTGTAGGCTGCCAAGCAGTAAAAATTTTTTGGATTTTTGCTGGTCTCATGGTCCATATCTATTCAACTACATAGGCAGAGTGCATAATCCCAAAATTTTAATAATCCAACTCTATTTTACTGGTTGCACAATGAGTGTTGATTTTTGCAAATGAAGCTTAGATCAATTACGGTAACAATTTCAATGAAATGTTCAACAGTGTAAGTCAACTAAATATTATTCAATGTACTACACCACTGAAGTGCTAGTATGGTGTGCTACTGCCACCGACTCACTACACAGTAATAAAATACGGTTGGTTTTGTCACTTGGAAGTTTTTCAATAATAACAGCTTTCTTGGACACATGAAACTGCTGGCAATGATTGTCAATGACCTAAAGCAGGTTCTGCTTTTGTTCCTCTTTGTTAGTACACACTGAGTCAAAGTTCTTTATCAAAGAAATACCACGTTCAGCAGCACCATAGACAATCTTCAGCTTCTGCACTTCTTGACAACTGATGCAGTACTGTTCAATGCTGTTCTGGGCATCAGGCTCCTGCTGTAGGAAGTCAGTTTCAATTTGCATTGCCTCAAAAAAGCTTGTGTGTGTTAGATGGGACAAAGTTTGACAGAGTCAACTCAGACACAGTTCTCTCATCCAGAGATTCAACTCTAGGTGCATGAGGGTTTTCACTGGGTTTTGACCAGGCATGTACCATTTTGTGCTTTTCTGTATCAGTAACTTTTGAATCTAAGAAAGCAAGTCACACGAGTTTCACTCAAGCACCATAAATGGCACCTGAATGTCTTTGTGGCTGCACTGGAAATTGACTTATTAACCATTCCATAAGCGAGTAGATCTTCGAGTAAATGCAGATCATTTTGCAGAGCAATTACAGCAGATATGCATGTGTACCATGCTATAAGATACAGCTTCACTGTAAATGCATTGAACTCTCAAAGCCCTTTGAACTCAGACTGTGTGCAATGAAACGGGCAAATTTTCATGCTGTATGTTATTTTTGCTATCTGGCAGGCTCTGTGATAGGCACCTGGAGCCAGGAGCATTAATGTGAACTTGGCTTTTACCAAGAAATGCCTATTTTACAGTATATCTCACTGATATGCTATACTCTTACATGAAACATGAATGCACTATTGTATCATTTGTTTCTGTAATACAAATTATGAGAAAGAGAGAAGCAAAGCATTGTAACTTCTCCTGCAGTCTTGTCTGTACTGCACAACATAATGGCAAAATTTCTGGTCAAGCAAATAGTCTAGCAAAAAATAAACTTTAACAAAGGATTGTCAGCAAAGAATATGTAAATCAACTGTTGATTTCCTGTAAATAAGTAAAAATTCACACTCTTGCATCGTTCAACATAAAAATCAACTATTGTCATAAAAAATATCAACTGGGTATTAGAAACAGTAAAATAAAGTTGTTGTGCAACCATTAAATATTGAAATATCTCATTCAAATTTTTTTGACTTTAGTTTTAGGAAAAAGAAACTTTTAGGAGATAAGAGTACATACAAAAAATATAACTCAGTACTCACTGCAGTGAGTGGCAGAGAGCGCATTTTCTTGTCGACAAAAACATAGTCAAGTACGGACAGACAGACATGGATGGACATGATGAGCACAATAGCGCCTTTTTTCCATAAATGAGAAAATGCGCTACAAAGCTTAATATTATTACAACACTTCTCTTTAACTTCACTTCTTGTTTGTCTGTCTGTCTGTCTGTCTGTCTGTCTGCTACAAATCTTGTAATCGAAATTTAATACACTTCTACTTATCCTATCGATCTGAAATTTTGCACACTTGTTTAAAGTTGGAGACAATGCATGAATAAAATGTCAAAATAAATGATTTTTAAAATTAAAAAAAAAAAAACACTTTTACCTGTCTAATTGATCTGAAATTTTGCACACTTGTGTGAAGTCAGAGGCAATGCATGAATCGATTAACAGAATGAATAATTTTGAAAAAATTTATATATTAAAAAAATTTATATATATATTAAAAAAATTGAAAAATAATTTTTTTTAATTTTTCGAAAATTAGATGAGAAATTCATTGTATATCTGTAAGATTGGAGATACTGGATTCTTTGGAAGTGTTGTCTTTAAAAAGTAATTTTTAAAAGTATATTATTTTTAAAACACTTCTTTTTAACTTCACTTCTTGTTTGTTTGTCTGTCTGTCTGCTACAAATCTTATAATCAAAATTTAACACACTTCTACTTATCCTATCGATCTGAAATTTTGCACACTTGCGTAAAGTTGGAGACAATGCAAGAATCAAATGACAAAATAAATGATTTTAAAAATAATATTTTTTTTTTCAGTATTAAAAAATTGAAAAAATAATTTTGTCAGCTACAAATCTTATAACTGATATTTGACACACTTTTACCTGTCCAATTGATCTGAAATTTTGCACACTTGTGTGAAGTCGGAGGCAATGCATGAATCAATTGACCGAATAAATAATTTTGAAAAAAAGTATAAATTAAAAAAATTGAAAAATTATTTTTTTTAATATTCGAAAATAAAATGAGAAATTCATTGTACATCTTTAACATTGGAGACACTGGATTCTTTAGAAGTGTTGTCTTTAAAAAGTAATTTTTAAACGTATATTATGTAACCTTAATTTGCTTGACACCCTACAATCTAGCTAACATTTTAAGCCAAAAATTGAAGCTGATGGAAATTTTGAGTACATACTTCATCAGGGATGCAGGTTGGTAATTGGTATTCGAGTAGACCTGGGACATGGACTGCAAAATAAATTAATATTATTTTATTTGTGCAGATATTGAGGTGCCATTTGGAAGATTTTGTGCTGATGAATCATGGCTGAAGATTGGAAATCTCCTGCATTCAGGAATCGCAGTGTGCAACAGATTGCTGAACTGATCCGTGCTACTCCAACCCCATCTAATAAAAATGCTGGTGATATCGAGAGTCAAGTGAGTTAAAATTAATAAGAATTTTCATCTTTTGTTATAATGAGTTTTCAATATTTTATTCTTCTGTGTTTAGCAGTTGTCTGAAATAAATTTTTACTATGATACAATGCAGGCTATACCATGAACATTATTGTGATTCCTGGAGGGCTGTGAGCAAGGACTTGAAAATTTCCTGTAGTGCATGGTTGGAATTATTTGAATTTAAAAGAATGTATTTATTCAATGTTATTAAATGTTTGCATTTGAATTTTCTATTGACTGTATTAAGAAGTTCTATGAAGTTTTTGGTTCTTTTTTCACAAATTTGTGTTTAAGACACAGTTGATTACTCACACAAGTTTTTACTATTATTATTTTTTCAAAAGTGATCAAGTGTTTATCTTTTCAATAAAATTTCTACCTTCTTATCCCTGTTTCTCTCAGATCTTTTCGCGATCCAAATCCAAGACTGAATACCAGAGTATGCTCAGCCGCCTTGTGTCCCACCTGAAAGAACAGGCAGCTCCATCCAGTCAAAGTCATCCTCACTTAGCTGCCATGTTGACGGGTCAGCCTCCTCCTAACCTCCAGGGCCAGATGGGTCAAGCTAATCAACAGATGCCCATGTCTGCTCAGATGGGGCAGCAGCAGCAACAGATGGGAGGACAGGGACCAACTGGTCAGATGGGTGGACAACAAATGGGACAAGTTGGTCAGATGACCAATTCAATGGGTCAGGGAAACCCACAGATGGCTCAGGGTCAAATGGTTGGTCACATTTCACAAGGGATGGGTAACATGGGTGGGCTGGGGCAGTCTATGGGTATGGGTGGAGTTACTCTTAACCACAATCAGGCAATGGGCATGAATGGCCAGGGAAGTCCAATGGGTGTTGGTAGCAATCAAATGGGTGTGAGTGGTGGGTCAGGTGGCCAGATGAATGTTAGTGGCAACCAGACAGTCCAAATGAACATAGCAGGTAGTCAAGGCGGCCAGATGAATATTGGTGGAAGCCATGGTGGGCCAATGAGCATGAACAGAATGGCACCAGGCACTCAAGTTCTCAACCAGATGAACATGGTCGGGCAAACAGCCCAAAATATGGGCATGGTTGGAGGTCAGGTACTCACTAACAGCAACCCTGCAATGATGGGCTCCAACCAAGGACTGGTGTCGTCAAGAATGACTTCGGGCATCGGGATGGGAAGCCTCGGGAACGACATGTCGTGGCAGGGACCCAACACGCACATGGGCATGGCTGGCATGAAGAATAACATGCAAGTAAATATGGCGGGCAAGATGCGCCCTATACAGCAGATGCCAATGGGGGTACAAAATGTGCCGGGGCAACTGGGCGGACAGAATGTTAATACACAGCTCGGGAATGTAGGCATGGGTCGAGGTGTATCTGTCTCGGGGAACACAGCCACCATGCAGCCTCGGATACCCTCTCCGAATTACTCTGGAACTCCGAGCGTTGGGATGCAAAGACAGGGTATACCCGGATCTCCGGGCATGGCCCCGAGCAACCAGCAGCAGTCGCAGCAGATGATGGGTGGTCAGCAGCCCTCGCCTGCCTTCATATCTCCCTCGCCGTCTGCCACGATGATCCCCAGTCCTGTGAGCAGTGGTGGACGAACCAGCATGATGGGCGCACCGTCTCCTGGCAGTAACATGGTTAATACCCCTGGTCAGCCTCTGCAGCCCTCACCTGCCTCCGCCACTCCGGGAGAAGATAAAGCTTACTTTGAGAAGATTCAGCAACTGCAGAAGTATGTGAAGCCTTTGAAAGAGGTTATAGCTAACTCCGGTCGGGAAGAAGGGCAGAGCAATGAAATCTACAAAATGAAGAAATTGCTCGATCATTTAACGAATCCTATGCGAAGAGTTTCCACAGAAACACTGGAGAAGTGCGAGAAAGTTTTGGAAAAGATGTTGCAGAAGGAGAGTGCTGTTGAGGTGATCATGGACGGTGTGAGAGCTGCTCTTAAAGCGCCGAACTCAGCAAGTATTTTTCATCGTACAATCGCCCCTGCTCTAGAGAAGCTCACAGGATGTAGCATTCCCATGCCCCCTTCACCCAAACGTCGCAAAATAGAGGAACCTACTGAAGAATCGACAGCTCCAAAAATTAGCTATATCATTCAGGGTGAAATAGCGCGCCTATCTCCACGATTTAAGGTCAACTTGGACAGTCACCAACCAGCATGCAGCGACGATTTGTCCCTCACGTGTCACCTGGACGACACAAACCTGCCCTGCGTCCCTCCACTGACCCTCACTATCCCCGAAAAATACCCAGACCTTCCGCCCGTAGCCACACTCCTCCACCAGGAATATTCATCCACGGACTTCCTGAAGCTCGTGCAAAGCTTGTTTCTTCGACGCCAGAAGCACCTTCCTCTCACTACCTCCATCACCATGCTGCTCGACACCTGGGAGATGAGCATCAGACAAGCCTGCTCACCCAACGCTGCCAAAAATCCTGAGGCTGTCTCACCCATCACGGCCATCATGCAGCTCATGCATGAAAGTAATCAGTGATAGCGTCGCCTCATCGGATCTTTATTACTACTGCGTTTATAATCCATCACAGATCTGAACTATCATGAACGGACGTTATCAGCTCATATTACATGTACATAAGGATTTTAACATCGCGGTAAATAAACACATATAGAATTAAATCGTGTATATATGCCAACTTTTTATTGCATTCCAAACAAATCGGCATATATGAGGCTCTGGTAATCTAATGTTTTTTTTAAGATTTACGTTGCCACGAACACAATAGTCGAGGAACTAGTATGCCATTGTCATCATCACCATGAACTGAATTGCAAATATATTTCAAGTTATGTCAAGATAGAGGATACTGAAATAAATTTCCAGGTATCTTGTTGCGTCTATGACCTTAGAGACTAGACTGTGTTATGAGATATTATGTTAGGTTTGTTGATAATGGATACTTATGGATAAAAATGCAGCTCAGGTGATTTCTCTAAGCGTAAAACAGTAAAAGTGGAAGTGCAGAATAGCATATTTTTTGTTCGAACGATGCAATCTTTTGTAGCTGCTGTTTAATTACAGAAAGATCATGAAACCTCAAGCAGCCTTTGCTGTTGCATTATTTTATTCCCAGAATGAACCATGCTGATTTGATGCAACTGAAATATATAACAATCGCTCACAGTTGGGCTTCTCGTCTACTACGTATGTTATGATGAGCCGAGGTTCTCGTATATCTAGAACTCATCTGGGTAGAGGCGTTTGATTCGTTGGTGACTTCGTCTTCTGACTCCGAGTTAACAGTCGTGTACCGGTACGTTGGCATTCATACTTGCCTCACTGTCCTACTCGAGATAGGATTCACATTGGGATCAGGTACAAACTTATGAAGAATTTTGACGAATGCAAGCGTAGGAGACTTTCTCTTCGGCCTGAGATACGAGATGCGAATCCTTCGCTTATGTTCTTTTATTTCTGCTGCTGTCACCGACAATTTAAACCACCCACTAACAACGTAGTCTATTCTTCGCTGCACAAGTTCTCGCATAATGTTCGCCACACCTTCCCTAATTTTGTTCTGATCGACGTTTTCACTCTGTGGATTGTTTAATGCGTTAGGAATATTGAGATGAGAATCTTCCCACGTGCCGCGCAACACACTCAGATCGCCTCTCCATGAGAGTCAAGGATGACTGATTATGTACCATGAAAACCGACCGCGCTGTCAGCAAGGCATTAGCTGTCGCTCTGTAATTACATTCAATATATAGTCAATAGAGGTTTTCCTATGACCATTGCCCAAATTTTAATGTATGCCTGGTGCATTGATCGCAGGTCTGGGAGACACATTTTTGGAGAGAGGACCTTGCTACGGATGGCGGCTGAAGTTTCGTTCCAGACTCCCCGAGGCAGTCAAACTCCAGAAGACCCTGAATGCTTAGATCGCGGCCGAGGAATTTACTTCCCAGCTACTGCGAGGTGTCCTCGAACGCGACAACTTCAGTGAACGGTCGCGGACCGCAACAAGTCCTCGCAAATGTTGTCGTGCCTCGGCGAATAAAGAAATATTCCAGACAAGTGGCATCAAGTGAACACATAAGCATGCACTGTTGCGTTGCAGCATCTGGCGCAGCAATGCCTCTAATGGTCATCTCCAAAGACGCATTTCCAGTAGGTAACTATGCTGCTGGTGGTCCCGACGGAGCTTTAAACGGCAAACAAGCCACTGGCTCATGGATTCTGAACTTTTCCCCGGCGGTTCACGATATTCTTGGTATTCGCTTAGCCATCAGCAGATAGACCTGTTCTGCTCGATAGCCACGCCTCACACTGCTCTCCAGCAGTTATTAACTATGCCAGGCAAAACAATGTGATTTTGCTAGCGTTAATGCCTCAAAAAACCCAAATCTTTAAGCCATTCGACGTGGCCGTCTTAGTATTTCAAAGTTGCTCTCTCAAAGCTCGCAAAACGAGGGCAAATTTTGCAAAGAAACCTGTGAATTGCAAAGAAGAATGTTCCGCGTATCTTAAAAGGTGTTTTTGAAAGTTCAAGGACGACTTCAAATATAGAATTTGGATCCAGAAAGTGCGGAATTCCCCCCTTCAACCGGAACGCAATTGACAAGTCCCGACTTTCCAGGAACCACCTGATCCCCAGCACAGGAGTTTCGATTGTTCGTTCATGGTGACAAGACGTGTGGTGCTATCGCTTAACAACCAAAGTTCTCGGTGTTGTAGACAAATCTGAAACCCAGTGCAAATCTATTAATACTAGTGCTTACCGAATAAGTGTGAAGATCATTCGAAGGTGAAAGGTATCAATAGCAATAGGTATGGCTGAATCATCGTCAGGCCCCAGCCTGACAGAAGAGCTCTTCTCTGAAGCAGGGATGGACACGTCTGAGTTTGCCGGCTTCCCTTCCGACTCACCAGTGATAGGAAGACCTTCCAAGATCAAGAAGCCCAGACTTCAATGCCACGCCAAACCTGTTCTTTCATCAACCTTTTTAGAATCTGCCTCAAACAACACCACCCAGTTTGAAACATTGCCTGTCAGTGGGAAGCCTGCCGAAGACCACCACTGCCCTGGATGTAATGGACTATCATGACTCCTGCCCTCCGGAACGTAGCCTTCAACACTTCTGGAAAATCATATAGGCAGCCGAAAGCCACCAGACAGAACGAATAATTTTGAGCTCTACACCCCCCAGACACGAGGTCGAATAGCCTACGGTCGAATGGCCGTCCACCACTGAACGTTGCGTAGAAGCATCACTTCATACCCTGGCCACCGCTCGAATTGGAACTTGCGCGCAACAGCCTGCGACCACTTGGCTTTGCCCACCTCCGGCCTCGCATAAAACATGCCGTGCACCACCTGGCCGTCGGTCGAAAGAGAGCCGTGCGACTGGCCGAGTCAGGTTAGGTTAGGTTGGGTTAGCTCTCGGCTGGAGCGTTCGACCCGCGGGCGTTCGACCGAGGGCTGGTTCGACGCACTGCCTAGATACGGACGGCTTGGTGGCGGATATCACATTCGCTGCAAGGCTCCGGCGCGCTACGTCCGAGTGGTGTACAATTTTTTCGCGGTACGGGGGACGACGCTAGGCCATTCGATCGCCGGCTGTTTCTCCTGAGGGCTGATTGGTCTAATTCAATTGATTCGTACTGTCTGGTGGCTTTCGGCTGCCTATATGATTTTCCAGAAGTGTTGAAGGCTACGTTCCGGAGGGCAGGAGTCATGATAGTCCATTACATCCACCAGGGGCAGTGGTGGTCTTCGGCAGGCGTTCCAAAACTATACTCGATTATACGCGCTCTCAGCTCTGTCGTCCATGGTTATTAATATGCATGGTTGAACTATGTGAGGTTGACCCACGAGGACATCCGTCTTTCAGTTCAGCTTCCTTGTTGCGTCACTGAGATCAAGAAACGTAAACAATCCCGTCATTCGCATGACGGATTGGTTGACTGGTTTGGTCGCACTTCGGTGATTGGTTAATGCCCGTGACGTCACTGGGATCAGTGACGTCACAGGTGAGCAACAAACTCCATCCGCGAAAATGAGCTTCTCATGGGTCAACCTTATACTAGTTCAACCATGATTAATATGAGTCGGCAACTGGATATGGTCCCATGGTTCAACCAAAGTGTTGCACGGATTAGGCGGCACTCGCACACAATCGTTGCAGCCGAACTCTACGGCATCCTCCAAGCCTTGAAATACTTATCCGCCAACAGCACACTGCCTGCAGTTATTTGCACGGATAGCCGTTCATCTCTACAACTTCTTCAGCTAGCATTCCCCAGCAGCTACACTCAGTTCGTGGCCGCCATTCAAGCGCACCTTCATCGGTTGCCAACAGGAGCAGTTCACTTGCAGTGGGTACCAAGTCACGCGGGTCTGCAGGGAAACGAGGCAGTGGACAAAGCCGCCAAGCATACAGCCACGTCTGCAGACCAGACAGCACAAGTCCCTTTTGACTTCTCTGAGCTGAAGTCAGTGGTACATCGTAGCATCTGGAAATTTTGGCAAGCGAAGTGGACATCAATCCGATGACAGTTTGCTCTGGGAATGATCAAGCCATCAGTTCACCCATGGGTTCATCGCATGCTGCAGACTCGCAGATTCGAGACCCTCTTTGTCAGACTACGACTCGGCACTGCTCCACCAAACAAGTCTCTCTTCCAGATTTGCCAAGCCCCATCACCACTCTGCCCTTCGTGCCAAGTGCCAGAAACAGCACATCACTATCTCATAGTCTGCACAGAGTACGCTGAAGCCCGCTCCCAACTGCGACGTCAGATAAACTCCCAGGGGATACTTGTAATCAATCTTGGAACCCTACTGGGAGGAGATACCACCAGCAGCCCTACCTGGCCCCAGACCTGCAGAGCTGTGGAAAACTTCATCAGTTAAACCCACCGCTCTGACCCCTAATCGTTGACAAACTGCTGCTTCTGGAGTGAATCGTCCAAGGCGCAGCACTCCGTTAACCTATCGAAGAACAGAACAGATCCCCAGCACCGACGTTGATTTATCTATCATAACATAACATAGTGATGCCAGAGAACTCTTCTAGTCAGGGTCAACTTATCGATGAACCAAGCACTTCTAACATTACTTTCAACTTAGAAGATGCTGCTTTGCTTTCAAAAAATGGGATGTCAGTGAGCACCGGAGCTTTGAAGCCAGCTGGGAGAGTTGATCACAACATGAACCGAGCAGTGGTCATTTCTATTTCAGACGAATGGGGATCGGTTGCAGAGTCTGAAATTCAAATCATTGCACCGGAGTGTCATGCAGTAGAGTTTCATTCGCCAAGCGAAAATCCTCTAGTGGCAAGCGGTATAATTTCTTCGTATTCTGCTAGTATCTTCTCCCCTTTGAAGAAGAAATCCTCTCTGGATGCCGTCGCCCGTCGCGCATTTCTTCTAAAGCACGAGTCATGACTTCAGATGAAGTACAACTTTACAAGCAAACCTCGAGTTACAAACACTATTAAAAATGAAGAACAAAATACAATGGCATCCCCTCAACATCTCGAAACAAGCATCCCAGACAATCCAGTGAGGATGGTTGTACCCTGGAAGGTAGCAACTGTTTGATTTGTGGACGTGATTGGGCTGCTGATCGGGTGCCCTTCCAGGCAATGTAGTTTGGCTGCGAAACCCAAGGTTGTTCTCATTGGACTTGCCCGCGATGCCTCCGAAATAACTTTTATTACAAAATCGATTTTTACTGTCGAAACTGTGAACAAACTTAATATTTTACTATAGTATATCTGTATTCTTACTATATGATGTAATTTTGTGCGACATTTTGGTACCTACATCATCTTTTCTATTTAGTCCAGAAATTACTAAATATCTCCGAATTTTATTTGCTTCCGATTGTATACCATTTCACGCTCAAAGAGAACGTCAGAAAATATAACTTTTTCGTAAACTTGCAAAATCCAAGTGTTTGTACTTGAAGATTTGTTTTATTTTATTTTAATATCTTGATCTAAATTTTATTCGTTAGTTCTACATTGACCATTTATTTCCTTGTTACGTATAGACTTATTCTTTCATCAATATTCTTTCTCCTTCTTTCATGAC